CATTTTGGTGTAAAACTTTCATAGATGTTATATACATTGTCAATGAATGTATTGAACAAATAAAACTCAAAATTTACTAATAATAAGATATATATATATATGATGAAGTATAAGTGGTATGTAATGCGCGTTAATGAAAAGTTTGAAAATAAAAAGTTGATTAGAATGAATAAACCATGCATAAATCCATAGTTTATTTAAACATTGTATTACAATTTAGATGAGTGTCCAACTACATAAATGAAGAGCTCCTATGAGGTTCAAACAATGAGGAACAACCATCTAGATTCATACAATAATCATACCAAGTCATGTAACCCGAGTAGTTTGTAAGCCATATTTGAACATGGTGCACATATATCTCTCTTGAGCTTCCTACTGTCATCCCATATATGGGATAGTTAGGATTAACCCAACTAGTAGGTCCATAATCTGTTTCCTCATCTTGAGCTCCATATCTAGTTCCACTATAATCAGACATGACATAACCATAGCCATCATAAGATTCATTTGAGTTAGTACTAGGTCTAGTTCCTATGCTCATAGATCCAAAACTGATCGCCATGTCCTCTTCAGATGGATTGATTGGTTGGCTTCTGTTCTTTGAGTATTGCTTCCTAATTGCGCCAATGCCTGGTCCAGCTTCTCTGCATCCATGATCCTCATCTTGGGTGGCATGAGTAAAATCAGCCTCAACAGTAAATGGGCTGTATTGTCTTCCTTCTTCATTACCTCCCGATCCAGCATTACTTCCTCCATCATTATCTGATGAATTGGATGAACTTTCCATTCTACTAGCACTAGCATTGTCTCTCAAGGGACGCCTTTGACATTGCCTAGGTCCAAGCATATCCCTTTCAAATGAGAAGTATCTCCACTCCTAACATCTTCGGATATGACTCTATCAACATCAACTCCTTCTTGGGCAGCATGTTGTGCTATAACGGCATCAGGGTTGCCTTGTTCATCATCCAAGTGAGCTGTCATAATCCATTGTTGAATTGGATTATTATCATCATCAGATGGTTACCTTGCAATGTCAAGACGGTCTATGTAGTCATTTTCTCCGACCTCGTTCATTTTGGCCTCTTCATCACGTAGCTTAAGTTTCATATTATAATAGCAAAAGACAATCTTTTCTAGCCTAGTGTATGGGAGACGGTTCCTTTGTTTCGTGTAAATAAGAGTAAATGTACTCCAATTTTGCTCACATGTAGATGATGACTATGTCTGTGACAATATACACATAGCAATTTTTTGCAAGTTCGGTGCAGAATCACCAAGAATATTCCACCATTCTGGAGGGGGGATCGATTTTCTTGATTTGACGGCCATCTCAGTGCGAAATGTCTTTCTACAGTCTCTAAAATTTATCACCTGGATCACAATGTTTTGTGTTCAAGATGCATAAAACTAAATTTAATGAGGAAGACATTGTTTTGTGTTCACTTACCTCAGCCCCAAATGCTTGCAAACCTCTATCCCCAGTTGGGTTCAACCTTTCAAATACGCGTTGGAGTCCTGAAAGTAACTCTTTATTGTGGCCAACCCCTGTTTCATATTGATATCTAGGGTTCAAGTAGTGGGCTACAAATATGAAGAGTAGTTAATACCCGTTGTATAAATTTAAAAATTGATGCATATTTTTACTAAAAGATTAAAACATACCAGCTTGATGTAATGGACGAGATAATGTGACATCCCATCTGTGATTAATGATTTTGAGATCCATTTTTTTCCCTTCGTTTTGGAAATCTTCTCTTTCATTATGTGAAACATATCATATAAGATAGGCATGGCAGGAATTACCTCTGTGTCAACAATTCGCAAGATGCTATACAAAGGCTCATAGATGGATTGCACTCCTTCCATGGCATCCCAGAATCTATGATCAAGGACTCGACTTTCAATTCTCTTCCCCTCGTCTGATTCACTAAATCGACTATTATACCATTCCTCACTTGTAAAAAGTTGCTTCAACCCAGCTTTCTTATTTAAGATGCTATTGATGGTGATGTAGTTTGTCACAAATCGAGTTGCACCGGGTCGGACCAAATCTCCTTGACAGAAGATCCTCATCTGAGCCAATAGCCAACTATGATTGTAAATGTAGTTGGTTAATTTCCTAGCCTTATTTATGACATTAGCCACCGACTCTTGCTTCCCAATATCTTCAAATATTAAATCAATGCAATGTGCAGCACAAGGAGTCCAATAAATAGGGTACCGCTCCATCATCATTTGTCCAGCCTTAACAAAGGCTAAACCATTGTCGGTGACAATATGAACAACATTCGACGGCCCAACCTCTTTTATGACATCCTTCAACAATTTGGCAATGTACTTTGCATCCTTGGTTTTATTTTGAAGCATCCACTGATTTCAAAAAAATTGTTTTCCCGTTTGAGTAGACCATGAAATTTATTATCAACAACCTCGTGGGGCCAGTCCATCCATCACTCATGATGGTGCATCCATACACGCCCCAATCTTCCTTTACCTTTTCCACATATGCTTGCATGTCTGTGTGTTCCATATCTAAGTACTTATGCTTTATTTCATACGGTGATGGTGTGGCTACGCCTTGACCTAATATAAACTCATATTAGTAATTGGTGTGTTTAGAATATTTAAATTCAAGAAAGGAAAGTTATAAGGAATAAAGCAAAACCTGCTTGTTGGGCTGCAGCAATCATATTCTTGAAATGAGGGGAACTTGCTTTTTGAGGAGCCACATTCTCAAGTATGAAGAATTTGCTGCAGTATCTTCCAAGTACCTCTGCTGAGTTTCTAATCATGCCTTTGATTGTTCTCTGTTTTGCTCTAGTGTTCTTGTGTGGCATTGGTACCGGAGGAGATGGAAGTAGGTCTCAAAGGCTTTGAGTGCGACGGTATTGCGGTTGACTACTACCACTTGCTCCCCCTGCAAATCGTTTGCTTCCCATTCCATAAACTCCTCCTTGTCTAAACCGTTCTTGCTTCGACGCTCTAATGGCAGCAAGGTAATCTTCTTTCTCCGCAGGGTGCATGTCTGGAGGATATGCATATCCATCGTCATCATCGTCATCATCATCATCAACAGGATTGCTACTTTTATTGCCCATGTATCCCTCTCTTGCTGTAGATCTTATGTTTTCTTCAACAGATTTCTTATGTTGTTTGCTAGACTCTTTCTCCTTTATCCATGCAATTACCTCCTTCTTAATATCTGGTGGTACTTCTTTGCACTTCTTTACACTTTTATGTGGATCAAATCCGGCCAAATGATACTTTAACCGTGTAATTCCACCACTTTTAAATGTGGATTCACAAAATGTGCATATGGTGCCATGCTTATTGCCTTCTATTGGACGAGCATATTTCCATGCCACATCAAGACCACCAGGCACACTAGCTCCACTCGGTCCACTACTACTTGCCATTTTTAATCTATCACACTTAAAATATATTAAATGAACTTACAATATCAAATCTATCACAAAAATAATATAGACCATGAAGGAGAGCCACATACCTGAAATAGCAGTCAAAGAGAACTTGCAAACAAGGAAAGAAGCTCACAGACTAAATAAAAATTGAAAAGCTAATAGAGAAAGAAAGAGAAGTGAAGGGAAGATTTGGTGCCCCAAAAAAAGCAAAATAGCCTTTGATTTAAAGAGGGCTTCTCTCGTGATAACAATGGGAACTTTTTGGGGTTGGGGGACAATGGTATATGGGCTTTGCAGACTTTATTTTATGGATTCCAGTTGGATGATTCTCTAACTTTGATGGAACTAAAAGTAGCCAAATTTTTTGGAGGTATGTGGGCAGTGAATTGCATTTTGCCAATTGTCTGACTTCGAAAAGTGAAAAAGAAACAACCAAAAAATGAAACAAATATTAAATGATAAAGAGTTCCACAAGAAGCTCAGACTTAGATAAAAGCTTTCAACAGTTTAAAGGCGGAACAATAAGCCAAAAAAGAGAACCCCAAAGCTCAAAACAGTATTCCAAGCACGAAGTAAAGAATCAATTCTTCTTCCAAGTTCTTCTTTTCATGGCTCAAAAAACAGTCACTCACATTCTTTACATTATTAATTATTATTATACTAATATTTTGTCTATCATATAATCTACAAATTTACAAATATAGTGGTTGTGATCAATACACGTTAGACCAAAAGATGGGAAGCCAAGTTAGTGGCAAATAAGCTTGAGATAGGACATGTATGTCCCTTCAATTGACTATGCATAGATTCTTTTGACGCATACTCCAAAACATGCATACTCCAAAACATCTTTTGCATTGAATATTGCCAAAAGCATTCACACATATCTAATCACTGCACATATACCTCTAAAAAATATTTTCAGTTTCAATTTGCTTCAAAATTTTTTAATTTTTTTGGGTTTTGTTATGGGTATCGGGAAATATCGGTAGATATCGGCAAAATATCGGGAATATCGCACTTATCGGGGATATATCATCGATATAGGGGAAGATATAACCTTACCCCCCAATATCGATATCGACAGTTCAAAATGTCGATATATCGGCCGATATATCGGTGTATCGGCCGATATTTCAATCCTTGGGTCCTCCTAAGTGCCTAGGTTGTCACTAGAAATCTTCTAGGCTTGCAGGTATAGATTGTTATGCTCTTTGTGTGTGTGTTCTTGGTTATGGTTTTTCATGACTAGCAGTTGACTAGTCATAAGTATATTTGGTCAAGGTTTAAAGTGTGTGAAGATCGATAAGTCTACTTGAATAGCATTTAAATTTACCCCTCGCCACCAAAGTACCAATTACACAAATAAAACTCACATTATGTAGATTCCACGCTAAAATCCATAATTCAAGTGTGTAAAAATAAAAATAAAATTAAAACCTGCATATTCTATCAAATGCAACAGAACAAAAGTCCATTTTAAAAAAAAGAAAGAAAAGAAACATAAGTCTAATTGTGCTAATTCAGGATGTCATCTCCCTTGCACATCAAGATTGCTATATATTACATTGTTTAATCCGCATCTACAATCGAAACGATTTCTTTAGAACTTGTCACTGTTGATGCACTTGTGGTACTTGAATTGTCCCCAGGAACCACTTCTGGCATCTGTTGTGGATACAAGAAAGGCTTTGGAGGCATTTCAAGGCTCTCAATTTCTCCTTCAAGCATCTCAACTGCTTTATTCATAGAAGGGCGATCGCTAGGTTTCATTTGTATGCACCACAATGCCACAATGATCATCTTCTTTATGATCTTCTCTTCCTCATCTGTGGCATCCCCAATTTTTATGTCCTTTCCATCACTCAATTGGTCAAAAGCCCATGTTGGAAAGTATATTTGGCTCGACTTCTCTATGGTTGCATTTAAATTCTTTCTTCTGCCAGCCATTTCCATCAATAGCATTCCGAAACTATAGACATCAGCTTTGTATGAAATACTTCCAATGTTTTTATAGAATAACTCTGGTGCTATGTATCCGAGAGTTCCTCTTGCTGCTGTCAAAGATACAATGCTATTATCGAGCGGGCATAGCCTTGCTAATCCAAAATCAGACACCTTGGGAAGAAAATTCTCATCAAGAAGAATGTTATGAGGTTTGATGTCAAAGTGCAGAATTTGCATTTCACATCCTCTGTGCAGATATTCAATACCACGAGCCACTCCAAGGGCGATTTCAAACATTTTCTCACAATTCAAAGAGACAACTCCTTGTTGAGAAAATAAGTATTTATCAAGAGATCCATTAGGCATGAAGTCGTATACGAGAGCACGCTTTGAACCCTCAACACAGAAGCCAATGAGTTGCACCACGTTAACATGGTGAATCCTTCCAATGGTAGCAACTTCGTTGATGAAGTCTTGCCCATTAGCGTTGGACTTACCCAACATCTTAATGGCTACAAGGCGACCACTACGAAGCTTTGCCTTGTATACAGAGCCATAGCCTCCTTCACCCAATTTTTCCTTGAAACCTTTGGCCATCTTTTTTATGTTTGAGTAAGAGTACCTTACTGGCATGAGCTTATTGTTCTGCAAAAAGTCTTCTATATTGTCATGCATTGACAAGTGCCTCCTTTTCCATTTGTATATTATTAATGCAGTTGCACAGGGAAAGCCAAACACATGTATGACTATGTGCAATATTCCTGCGCAGTTCACAAAAAGTGGACTCAATAGAGATATTAATTGATTGCTTCAATACTATCAACATTTTCCTTAGTATACAACAGTTTTCATTAGTCAAGGGCCCGGCCGTCTGGTAACATTTTCGTGTTTAGTTTTTAGTTGTTACTTTTTTAGCAAAGATGGAGAAACAAATATATGGGAGAAATAATGGAGAAAGAAGAGATGGGGAATGGAAAAATGAAGGAGAATGTAATAAGCAAAAACTTGAAAATAAGAGGTATTTGAAACTGCTTTTAATTGGTTTTCTTTTTTAGCAACATTTCATTCCATTTTCTCCCTCTCCTCCTTTCTTTCTTATTTTTTCTCTCTATCTCTTTAACTTAAAAATCAAATGTTGAGAAGAAAAAAAATAAAATGGTTATCAAACGAGTTCATGCTTTTCTTCTTCAGTTATCAATAGATAAAACTGAAAAATGCTACACAGTAACTGATTTCAAGTAATTCACATTACCTAAGTAAGGGATTACACAGGTTAATGGAAGCAGATAAAGGGGGATTCCCCTGTAGCACTCGTGGGTGAGCCCATAGAAATACAAGGAGATTACCCAGCCTGCAACACAAGTGAAAAACTCAATCATAAAATCATAATTCAATGAAGTATACTTTGATGAATGTAATGCCGGATTAAGAAACTAAGTACTACACATTTGAATTATATGTAAGTTGGATTAGAGAGTCGGCTACTTTGCCTGGTATAGAGCGTATGAACTTTAAGATCTTCTTGTACAAATGTTCTGCATTGCAAAAGAAAATAAGATTCATATTTGCATACAAAATGATCATAATACATATGTATACAGGGGCGGAGGCACGTAGGGACCAGTGCAGTCACTGGCCCCCACTCAACTTTTTTTCTTTCTTTTAAAATGTAATATGTATTGCTGTTATTGAATAATCTATATTAATTAATATGTTTATTTTATCACGTGGGCCAGCAGCCAAACCCTGTTTTCCTTTCCACCAAGCGTAAGCCACTTTCCTTCCCTTTTCCAAAGGTTTATGGCTCTTATTATTATATATTTACTCTTCTAAAAAAATTGATAAAATCCTAACCCATTTTTCTCCTTTCTTGGAGATACACAAGCAACAAAGCAGACTTTCTCAAGGCACTGCCTGTGAGTTCTTCTCTCAAACTCCATATTAAACTATCAAGTTTTAATTAGGTTAATTTATTCAATTAAAGTTTTTTTAGCAGTTCTCTTTTTTATTTTTTTCTTTCTTTATTTATTTTTAGTTCATAAAATTTTGATTTTTTTTTCTTTTTATTGATTTTAATAGATCTTCAATTTATGTATAAATGATTGCTTCGTTGCATATATTGAGAGAGACATTTTCAATAGTATAGATGACGAGATTGTTATGCAATGATTTCAAAATATGAAAACTCGTCAAGAACAATGATGATTGTAATGAATACATAATATGATTTTTGATGTCTTGGTATGTTTTGTGAGTTCAAATTTTTTATTGTTTATATTTTGTGAGAGGCCCCCACACACATGAAATTCTGGCTTCGCCACTGTATGTATATATTAGAAATCAACATGTCATAGTCTCCTTTTGACCACCAAATTATTTGAAGTGAAAACACCATAAACTAGCCTCCCGTACTTAGTTGATAAAAACTCTCTTCCTATTCCTTTGACCAGTATCTCTAACATAATATATCTGTAGTAGATGGCTGCAATATATCAATCTGTACACAAATGGAAGCAAAAGCCTATGTGTCCTTCCCACACACGAGAACAGCATGACATGTTATTTGACAACAAAATCTTGCCAATGTGTAAAGTTGTTGTGCGAAAAATACAATCAAGGGAGAAATTGACAACTAAGGAAATTAACCAAATGTGAAGAATTAAAGTCAAATGGGTGGGTTCTATCATTACTTGGTTTGAGGAACCTCCGGACTTGTGATCTCTTATTTGAGGAATGTAACATGTAATTTTTCTACAGGCATGGTCTTAGGGGGACATGGGGCACAATCTATCAGGGGTTAGGTTCCTGCCCCCTCTTTGCAGTTGAGTAGGTAAGACTACTCAGTTAGTCCGATGACCGAGCCTATATGTATAAATAAATTCGCCTAATCCCCAACAACATGGTCCCATTTTTTTTTGTACTGTTACTTATTCCCTCTATCAATCAATAATACTATCAGTCGTATCCGTATCCGTGTCCGTGCTTTTTCACTGAGGAGAGAGAATACATATGTTGACTCTAGCTAGCATTATTGAATAAGTGAAATCATTAACAGATGCACTATAGTACCTTTGGTTATTGAAGGGCACTTGGTTTTACTCACATTGTCGAGCGTGCAGTTCTCCTTATGCATTCCACATTTTAAGTAACATGCAGCGTTAAACCATGAGAGCTCAAAGCCACGCGCTATTTCATTATATATACCTTCACAGGACAAGTTCTGGTGCAGATCTGTAGATGTTGAAGATGACACCACAACCATTTGTGTTATTTTGCAGGACTCCCCCAAATCGAAGGGACTTATTATGGAGCCATTCAAGCTAATTATGACGTAAGAAAACATTCTTAAAGTACTGGACAAAGAAGAATTGGCAGAATTGTTGATGCATGGAGCTGTATCAACAAGGCGAGGAGAATGCATTGGATTTGCACAGCTGATAAAAATTATAGGCACTTCATGTATCACTAGACTGTACAGTCGGAGTTCTTGAATAGATGTGTCAGTAAACTGAAGAGCATAGGAGAAAGGATTTCCATCAGTAAGGTTCAAGGAGGTTAAAGAGTAACGTGGGTTGGAGAAGTAGTTGTCTTTCTTCTGAATACCAGCATCCACAACTCGGATTGTCCAGTCACTGTAATTGATCGCCTTTACGTGATACCTTCCCGAATATAAGCATATTATGGTAACATTTTCCTCACAATAAAGCTGATAAGTGTTGTAGCCACATTTTTGAAGGTCTCCATTTAAATCGAATGGAGACCTTATGTTAATATTGCCACAAAAGAGGGCACTATCTTCCACGGTGGAAGTTTGGAAACAGAAGGAAGGAGGAAGAAGGAGAAGGAGAAGGGCTATGTGTGCAGCAAATAGGAGACTTCCTCTAGACATGGTGAGAGAGAATATTAGGAGGAAGGGAAGAGGTATTCAATCCAATAGGAATTTATCAAAATTATGGAAGAGGACAGATTAATTAGACAACTTAGGTTCTAAACTTCTGGTTATGGCAGATAAGAAAGGAGGGACTTCAGAAATGACCATTTGGATTTTGGGCCCTTGAAGGCAAGCGATAAGCTGCTCAGTCAACCAAAAGCAAAGTCGCCCAAACAGAGAAAATTAAATATTAATCCTTATGGAAATTAAATACTAAACCCTTGTTGGTTTAGTGGTTATCGTTTTTGTTGGTTTAGTGTTCAAATCATCTATCCCTCGTTGATAAAAAAAAAAATTAGTAAATGCATTTGAACCAGTCCACACATCAATTCAATCATATATATATAATTATATATTAATGCTAAATCTTATATATCCGTATCTGTCGTATACAATCAATAGGTAATTTAGCAAGGGAGCGGAATGCTAACCCATTTTTTTGTTAGAAATAATGCTTCTGATCAACTTCTTATGCTGGTTGCTCATAGTAGTAGATGTAGATGTAGATGCAGTGCATCGAGGAGTAGACCTTGAAATTTGCACACAAGCAAGATGTAAACCGGATGGCCCAGCCATCCGATTCCCATTTCAACTTAAAGGTAAGCAGTCAATCCATTGTGGTTACCATGGCTTTGATCTGTCATGCACTAATGACAACGAGATTGTGCTCAAGATGCCAGCATCATCTGACAACCTCTTCGTTGAAAGGATTGACTACACATCTCAGGAGATTGAAATATATTACCGAAATTATCACCCACCGAGAGAGTTTTTCGACCTCAGTTTATCTTCGTCTCCCTTACAGTTTATGCCTGGACCACATAACTATAATTATACCCTATTCAGTTGTCCATATTTAGAAGAAAGATTATCCTACGGTTTTTGTCTGATGGAAGTGGGACCTTACCACCTTGACAATCCTGAAAACCAGACATTCGCTGTCAACGCTCAATGTTCTGTTGATAGATTTCCCCTAGTGTCTTGTACCAAGCTGCATGACTATACATCAATTCCAGACATATCAACCTTTGCAATGAAGAAAATTATGAAGTTGCATTGGTCCAAACCATCATGTCAACATTGCGAAGAGATGGGCAAGGCATGTAGATCAAAGATTAGTGAATATAGTCTTGCACATGTTCAGACTGCAGAAAGCGAATGTTTAGATTTCCCTGAAGGTATCATTTAACTAAACTTGGCTTTGTTGAAGTACTTTGACAGCAAATATTATTTATTTTCAGTCATTCGATCCAATTAGTCAGGACTCAGTATTTTATTGATTTGATCGCAAAAGTACTTTACAGATAGTAGCCGCAGAGGGACACACATAAAGATATCAGGTGAGTTTTCCATAAATTAAAGCACTTGCTTGCTGGACTATAAATCTGAATCACATGTAATTAGGTTAATTTTTGTCATCTCTATCTGCAGTTTGCACAGTTTCTGTGGCTCTTATAGCAGTGGGGGCTCTCATCATCTATCATGCCTATAGCTCCAAGAAAATATTAGACAAAAATAATCAGCTGAGGATTGAAAGATTTTTGGAAGATTACATAGCTCAGAAGCCAAGTAGATATTCCTATGCTGATATTAAGAGGATAACAAATCAATTCAAGGAAAAGTTAGGGCAAGGGGCCTATGGAATAGTTTTTAAAGGGAAGCTTTCATCCGAATTGCTCGTTGCTGTGAAAATCCTCAACAATTCAAACGAAAATAATGGAGAAGATTTTACAAATGAAATGGGAACGATGGGTCGAGTGCACCATGTCAATGTGGTTCGCTTGGTTGGCTTTTGTGCTGATGGGTTTATACGAGCTCTTGTGTATGAATTCTTACCAAATGGTTCATTACAAAATTTTTTATCATCAGCAGATAATAAAAACTCTTTCCTTGGTTGGGATAAGTTGCAAGATATTGCTTTAGGTATAGCCAAAGGAATTGAGTATCTTCACCAAGGGTGTGACCACCGAATCCTCCATTTCGACATCAAACCCCATAACATTTTGTTAGACCAGAATTTCACCCCGAAAGTTTCTGATTTTGGTCTAGCCAAGCTATGTTCAAGGGATCAAAGTGCAATATCCATGACGACCGTCAGGGGGACGATGGGCTACATTGCACCAGAAGTGTTCTCTAGGAACTTCGGTAATGTGTCCTACAAGTCAGATGTCTATAGTTTCGGGACATTGTTGCTGGAAATGGTTGGTGGTAGAAAAAACTTCAAGGTTATGGAGGACTCCACCAGCCAAGTCTACTTCCCAGAATGGATTTATAACCTTTTGGAACAAGGGGACGACCTACGGATTCATATTGAGGATCAAGGAGACGCTAAAATTGCAGAAAAACTTGCCATTGTGGGTCTATGGTGCGTCCAATGGCACCCAATAGATCGTCCTCCAATGAAAAATGTAGTTCAGATGTTAGAAAGAGAAGGTGACAATCTCGCCATACCACCTAATCCTTTTTCCTCTACTTCGAATTGTGATAATACTGTAACCAGTCACCAACTTTGATATGAGAGCAAGCACTGTAATATTAAATAACTAATGATGTTGAATATCGTAGTATACATATGCTAATTAGTGTTTGGGTCTGAATTTTTCATGGGTCAAATTATCTTGTATATTGAGTTTGTTGAATTTTTGAGTTCCTTTTCTATTGAGAGAGGATAATATGTTAAACTTACACACACTACATGGATGTTAAGACTCGAACCCAAGACCTTTTCTTTATATTATAGTGATTCGAGCTGCTTTTCTATACTATTTCCCATTCATCTTGTTATTTTTCTTACATAATGATTTTTAATTCAATTACATCGGTGCTTTCTTGCGCTAGAGAAATTGTTGAAGTCCTTTATTCATTGAAGGTGTAGACAATAACTTATATTGAGTCGATTAGAAGTTAGGTTTAATAATGAGTTCACAAAATTAGTTCATTATTACCAGTTTGCTTCGCTTGTCATAATCTTGACTTGACCGAATTATTATGGTTCTTTTCAATAGGTTAAAACTTTTATTTATTTGATATCAACACGTAATCATTTTTTTTGCCAAACAAGAGAAAAATCATTGGTTTCATTGGTAAAAGCTGAAAGGCTCGATTACAATAGTCACACAGGCAATCAATCACATGAACCCATATTAAGACCCAAACAAGGACCCAATACAGTTGTCGACGATGGAGTACAAAAGATAATCACGCCTACGATACACCCCTGTCAATGCTGTAAAAAAAAAAATCAGTGCTATGATATTCTATTGGCGTGACTTGTAAACTATTGACTTTTTTTCCTTACACACCAAGGATTCCAATTATAATTGTATTTGATTTACTTTAATATTTGATTTCCTACTGTAAATAGATATCGGAATTTATTATTTACTTGACCACTAAGGCTTTGTTGTATTATAAATATGACCTCTTATAAGGAGAGGAATATATAGAAAATTCCAACAAATAATATTCCCTTATTCGTTTCATATTTTGACATGGTATCAGAGCGGTAATCTTGGAATTGCTTATTCTAGTTTTAAACTCCCACCGCCACTATGGGGGTTGATGATTTTCAATCCTCATGGAGGTAGCACCACCGACTTCGTCTCTCTTTGTCAACCAACCATAGACGAGTTGAGTGCCCAGGTGGCTCAACTCCTTCATATGCAGATTTCAACCCCGAACATGATCCTGAATCAGGATTCTATTTTGACGACCCCGACCCCGTCTATGACGACGACCCTCACCTTGAATTTGTCTCTGATGCAGACCCAGATCCCGATTTCGACTTTAACTCCGACCCCGACTGAGGCTCATATCCCAATCCTGATTCCTATTAAACCTGTATCATATGCATATTTTGGTGCACATATTATTACTTCCCAACTAACGACCCCAACACATGGACGAGATTGCACATACTGTGGTGATCCGAGGCACACTAGTGAGACTTGTTTTAAATTGCATGGCTACACTGAATGGTGGGCTACTCTCAAAGATCGAACACAACGCGGTACGGCCAATAATGGTACTGGTTATGGATTTCATATTTCTGATAAGAGTGATTCCACAAGCTGGATAATTGATTCCGGTGCAATTGATCATATGACGTTTGATCTTGATGATTTTCTAAATACTACCCAACCTCGAAGAACTTGTATTGTTAACACCAATGGAGTTACCTATCCTGTGACAAGGGTTGACACTGTTGCACTCTCATCCTCTCTCTCACTATCTAATACTTTATTTGTTCCATCTTTATCCAATAAATTGATGTCTGCAAGTAAGCTTACTGAACAATTGAATTGTCGTGTACTCATTTACTCGAATTTTTGTTTTCTTCAGGATATTCACAACTAAGAAGATTCTTGGTCGTGGTACTAAAAGAGGGGGACTCTATTATGTAGATGACTTCAATCCCGACATGACTAACAGTGTGACACATCCCTTTTATAGCAAACAAAAGCAAATTTGGTTGTGGCACCGTCGATTGGGACATCAATCTTTTAATTATCTAAAGCATCTTATACTAGATTTATTCTCAGGTTTCAAGGACTCTGACTTCAAATATGATACTTGTATTTTGGCCAAGAGTCATTGTGTGCCCTATCCACTGAGTACGAACAAGTGTACTACTCCATTTGTGTTAATTCACTTTGATGTTTGGGGATCTTCATCTATCATTGCTCCTTCTGGCGTTCGGTGGTTTGTCACATTTGTAGATGATTGTACATGGATGACATGACTTTATTTGCTGAAGAATAAAAATAAAGTGTTCCGTTTTCATTTCTTCCATAAATAGATGAAAACTCAGTTCAATGCTCAAATACAAATTCTTTGCTCAGACAATGGTGAAGAATTTGTCAATCATGACTTTCAAGCTTACTTCCAACAACATGTAATTATCCATGAGACGCATTTTCCTCAAACACCGCAACAAAATGGTGTTGCTGAGTGAAAGAATTGACATCTTCTTGAAATAGCACGAGCACTTCTGATTGGCGCTCATGTTCCTCACCAACATTGGGATGATGCTATTGTCATCGCAGTTCACCTGATCAACCGCATGCCTTCTGGTGCATTGAACTTTAAAACTCCCTTACAAGTGCTTGCACAAGATGGGCCCCTACTTTATGTTTTGGTACTCACACCCCCAATCTTTGGATGTGTGGCATTTGTTCATCTCCATAAAAATCAATGTAGCAAACTTGATCCCTGTGCGCTTCGTTGTGTTTTTGTAGGTTATGTCACTCATCAGAAAGGCCCCGCTGTTATCACCATCTTACCTGACATACCTATATCTTTTTGGATGTGACCTTTATGGAAACTAAAATGTTTTTCCATGACCCAGCATCTAATTCTTCACTTCAAGGGGAAATACGAAGTGAAGAACAGAATTGGAGCAACTTGGAAAACGAAGAAATTCGCCTCTATACAAAATCGTCATGCCTCTGACAATCAATTGCCCAGAGGTTTGGAGCATGAAATTGCTCTCGGCCAAGAAACGATCGATTGTCCAAACCCGACGATCGATTGTCCCGAGTCTAGAGCAAGAGACTGCTCTTTATCGAAAAGCGATCAATCACCCATTCACAGCGATCGATCGCCTGACCCCTACAATGATGTTTCTGATATGAGTCCCATGCCTACAGACAATACAGAACAATGAGATAAAGACCCATTTTTAAAATCAATAGTACCAACAAATCAATCTCATGAGAATGTCCTTGAGATAACTACTCCTACTACACTTTTGAATTTAGAGGATAAATCTGTTGGATACCAATTACCATTTAGGCAAAATCATGGGAAGCCATCAAACCGTTATTCACCTGATATTGGCAAGACATCAAAGTATCCAATTGTGAATCATGTATCCATTCAAAAGCTGTTCAAACCACTAACTTTGTGCATCAGTTCTGCTATTCATGTCCCAACCAAGGTTTTTGAAGCATTGAAAGATCCTAAGTGGGTTCTAGCTATAAAGGAATAGATGAAAGCTCTTGAGAAGAATCAAAATTGGACACTGGAAACTTTACCACAAGGAAAAAAGACTATCGGATGTAACGCTGATGGATCTATCGAGTAATACAAGGCAGGACTTGTGATGAAAGGGTACACACAGACTTATGGTGTAGATTATGAAGAAACCTTTGCACCAGTTGCAAAATTCAACACAATCAGATCTTGATTAGGCATGCAATGTAACAAATAGAAGATCCACATTGGGTTACTTCACTTTCGTGGGAGGTAATTTGGTGACATAGAGGAGCAAGAAACAGAAGGCCCAGTGTAGAAGCCTAGTTCAGAGGCATGACTAAAGGAATTTGTGAGCTCATTCGATGAAGGAAGTTGCTTACTAAACCTGGGTATAAACCCACGTCCACAATGAATCTCTTTTGCGACAATAAGGCTGCTATAGTGTTTGTACCATATCTGACCCCTCACTCAAGTCTTGACACGTGGCAAATCTACCCAGCCCAGACCAGCTCAGTGAGCCATGCCGAAACGTCGATCGGCATGCTCCACCGATTCATATTGGTCAAATCGCTAAAATGCCTACGACTGATGGAAGACACCAACCTTCGGCACATGATGCAGAGCAACCAGTTAGCACATTCGACCGATTCTGACAAGTTAACCTCGGAACTCCCGCCAGAACCTATCAGGGCACGTGTCGACTGCCGAAGACACTCCCACGAGTCCCACATCGAAACTAAGTACTAGGAGCATCACAAATGCTCTTTATAAATAGAGCCCCTTGGCCTAGCCAAGAGGTAAGACTGTTTACTTGACTTGTGCTTTCACATTGTCAATAGAATTGCTCTTAGTCACTAACTTTGGCATCGGAGGGTCTTCGGCAGGCGCCACACCGGTGTCCCAGACTGCACCTGCCGTTTCTTTCTCTAGGCCGAATCTAGCACTACGCTCTAAGAAAGGAAGCTACGGACCGAAGGCTCCTCGGGTCCAAACCCCCATTCCACTTGTAAGTTAGCTCTATTTCTATCTATTTAGTTTTTAGCCTCGGGTCCAAACCCCTATTCCACTTGTAAGTTAGCTCTATTTCTATCTGTTTAGTTTTTAGCGTGAACATATAGCTATTGCACATAATTCGGTTCAACATGATCGCACTAAATATGTTGAGGTGGATCAACACTTCATCAAACATAAACTGGAGGCTAAAGTAATTCAGTTGCCTTTCTTGAAGTCCGAGGATAAATTTGTGGATATTTTGACAAAAACGATTTCTAGTAGAGCGTTCCACAATTCACTAGATCAGTTGGGCATTAGCAACATTTATGTACCAACGTGAGAGGGAGTGTTGGCATGACTTGTAGACCATTGACTTTCTTTCCTTACACACAAAAGATTTCCATTATAATTGTATTTGATTTACTTTAATTTCTGATTTCCTACAATAAATAGAAATATTATTATTTACTTGGCTACTAAGGTTCTATCATATTATAAATATGACATCATACAAGGAGATGAATATATATAAAAAATTCATAAATAATATTCTCTTATACGTTTCATATTTTGACGTACTCTCCCAATTACAACCCTAAGGGCTCAAATCTAGCAGCAGACTAATGTAATCAAGGGTAGAGCCACATTTCAACACGTACTTTGGGTGCATCGTAATCAAGGGTAGACTGTACATTTCAACACGAACTAAAAGTTAACTCGTAGTGATTGTACTCTAGTAGTGATTGTACTCTAGTGTGACTGTATTGTTATCAGCATTATTTCATGCCACACAGGTGACATGATCATAGAAACTTTTAATTAATTTATGTTTTCCCATCAGGCTATTAGCTAATGAAGTTTATGTGACAAATTTCCAAAACCTAATATTATCTTTTGTCAGACGGCAACTTTCCAAACTCTATCAACTTTGTTTAATTATAAAATTGCAGTCCAAAAAAGATCATAATTGTTTTAATCAAAATATTATATTTATATGAATATTTTAATCAGCCCAAAATGGATTATTTTGCCGGCCAGTTATCTTTGTTTTTTCTTGGCATTGTGCGAGACCAACGACGTTAATATGGGTCAAAAGTCCGCAGCAAGCTTTTGCATATTGGCGTACATCATCATAGGCATTTTATATCCATGGCACACGAAACAAACAAAAACACCACTCCAAAACCCCTTTTATTGTATCATTCAATTATCATAATAACATTGAAAATCATGTTCAGATATATAATAATATCATAATGTGAATTTGTTTTGGGTAAAAAGTCACTTTTAATCCCTCTTATTTTAATTTGATCAATTTTGCCCATATAGTTTGAATTCCAAGCAATTCAAGCACAATCTCAATTTCTGTCAAATTATTTTAATTTTTGTTCACATATAAAGGCATTTCGATCTAATCCTACAAGCCCTCCACAATCACACTCACAACCACCCAACAACACCTCCCCAAGAACCCCCACAATCACCTTCCCCCTCCCTATATCAAACCCAACCCTAACTCCATGCATTGTCCAAATTCCCAAAAACAAAAGCCAACACACAACTTTTGGGTTTTTAGGTCTAATGGTCCATTAACTTTGAATCGATTCGCATTTTGGTCACTCAATTTCCAAAATCATTCCCGTGGTCCTTCAACTTCATAAAATCAAACTAAAACCATGAGAGTTGGCTAAAATATATCTGGCTATTTAAAAATTAAAAATAAAAATAAAAACTTGTATCCTTAATTACAGAAAAATTAGTTTGGGGGTAAATTGACAATTATGTATATAGTTCAAAGGGGGAAACAGATGTTAACCCATATATATATATATATATA